TTTCCTTTCAAAGTCAGTTTCTGTTATTTTTCATAACTTTAAAATTCAGTGAGTAGAGAAAGAAGAATGTGAAGGGGTATGTAGGTTTAATCAGCATGGTCCAATGTAAGTATAATATGAACCACATATGCAATTTCACATTTTCTAGTACGCACACTGAAGAAGGTAAAAAAATGAGTGAAATTAGTTTTAATAACATATTTTACTTCACCCAATATATATAAATATTTCAGTATGTAGCCAATATTTAAAAACTGTTAATGAGATATTTTACATTCTCTTTGAATTACATCTTTGAAATCTGGGGTGGGGATGCCTGGGCGGCTCAGTTGGTTAAGCGTCTGCCTTTGGCTCAGGTCATGATCCCAGGGTCCTGGGATCAAGTCCCATATGGGACTCCTTGCTCAGCAGGGATCCTGCTTCTCCCTCTGCCTGCCGTTTCCCCCTGCTTGTGCGCTCTCTCTTTCTCTCTGATAAATAAATAAATAAATCTTTGAAATCTGGGGTGTATCTTACATTTATACCACATCTCAAATCAGACTGGCCACATTTTGAGCACTCCATAGCCACATGAGGTTGGTAGTTAACATAAGGGACATTGCAGATTTAGATCCTCAGGGCCGTGGAGGGGCAGCTAAAAAGTCCCGGCTTCATTCTGAAGGCAGTGGGCATCCCCCAAAGAGATTCAACCAGGAAGTAACATGATTAAAAAAGATTCATTTTAGAAAGATCATTCTGACTTCCCCTTAAAGAATAGACTGGACAGAAGTTAAGGCTAGCGTTGGTGAGATCAGCTGGGAGGAGTTAAAGTCATCCAGATGAGAGATGAGAGATGATGATGACAGGCTTTGGCAGTGGCAGCAGGAATACTGAGATACAACTGAATTCAAGAGATGCTTAGGAGACAGACGCAACATGCCTCATCATCACTGTTGTCCTGAAACACGAGTGCTATTTCCTACCTGCACACCTTTGTGTATCTCCTCCCCACCACCGCATCCCAAATATCTTCTTTTCTCTCTGGCAACCAAAGAAGCAAATCCTCCCAATTTTTAAGGCTGTAGTCCATGGTAGCTACGCATGCAGAATGGTTTGCAGCAGGGGATCAATTAACAAATGTCTCCGTCCTCCCTCAAGAAAGTCTTTTCCAAGGGTGCCTGAATGACTCAGTCCATAGAGCATGAGACTCTTGATCTCAGGTTCATGAGTTTAAACCCCACGTTTGGCTCACTTAAAACAAAACAAAACAAAACAAAAAACAACTGAGGGGCACCTGGTGGCTCAGTCGTTAAGCATCTGCCTTCAGCTCAGGTCATGATCCCAGGGTCCTGGGATCGAGCCCCACATCGGCTCCCTGCTCTGCGGGAGACCTGCTTCTCCCTCTCCCACTCCCACTGCTTGTGTTCCCTTTCTTGCTGTGCCTCTCTCTGTCAAATAAATAAAATTTTTAAAAAACTGAAAAAAGAAAAAAAGAAAGAAAGTCTTCTCTGAATGCTCCTGCCCACACCTTACCCCCAAACCTGAAATATGAAAGCTGGGAATATTGGTTCCCCCCCAACTAGGTAGGCTAAAGGTCCTGTTCTGGGAAGTTGTTGGCAACTCCGAGAGGTGCAGTGATTTCAGCTGCATGAGTGATGGCGGAGAGTTGTATTGAACCAGGGTTATGGTTTTGCCAAGAGAATACAACAAACAGAAAAAAGACAAGATTGTTGAGGGTGATCGTGAGAGAATGATGCTAAAGTTTGACCATGGAATTTAAGCTGGCACAGGAATCTTTAAGTACTATTCATAAGTATTCCAATTCTCCAACCTCACCCCTCCACCTCAACCTTCTGGACTTTGGGTAAAAATGCACTTTCCTATTCACTTGATGTTAGACATGGCCATGTGACTAATTTTGGCCAACTAGTAACAGATCCTAGCTGAAGCATATTTTGTTGTCAATTGACAACAAAACCCTCAGAGTTCTCTTTTCCCTCTGACATAGTGACCAACATGACTTGAGATGTTGGTTTTTCTGTCAATCTGGGTTTCTGACTACGATAAGCAGAGCCCCCTGTAAACCCACAAGGTTCAAGTTGTCTGAGCAAGAAATAAAACCTTATTGTGTTAAAGCTTAAAATGTAAACCTTAAATGTAAGCCTAAAATTTTGGGATTGTTACTCCATTCCCACTTAGCCTATCTTGACTGATATAGCTGGAAGAAAGAACATTAACAGAGAGAAGAAATGCAAAATATAGGATTACTAGATTTCAGTTCCTGGTATTAAAGGATTGGTGGAGTCAGAATAGGAGAGAGAATAACTGGAAAGATATGAGGTGTTGCTTAGAAAGTCAGATTCATGGCGAGGTCAATGGATGACTATGAGTGAGTGGCTGAGATGAAAAGAAGACAAGATCTTTGAAGCAAGAAATGGAGAGGACAGAATGTTGGAAGGACTATCTCTGTGTGTACTGAAATCATTAAAGAATAAAACACAAGCAGTGTTGAAGAGAGTGACAGCCAGATGCTAAATATGGTATTGTTTCTCTTCCCACCAGCAAGACATGGATGCCATGATGGCAGGGACTTTCGTGCTCATTTTTGTGTCCCCAGTGCCTGGAACAGTGCCTAGCACAGAGAAGGCACTTACTAAATATTTGCTGAATGAATGACTAGATGAAGAGGAGAGTAGCACCCCATACACTTTGACAACTAAATCTAACTCAGGGAAGAGAGTTCCCTCCAGTTCTCGCTTCCTTGACTCTATTTTACTGTAGCATTTCTTCCCAAGACCACAGTAGTTGTTTTCTCTTTGTCCATCCTAGAGTCTGCTTGATCTACCTTGTTGTTGCCAGAAGTCTTAAGGAACTACTTTTTAAACTCATCCCCATGGCCTGCATGCTAGCAACTCTAGCTAATACTATCCCCACATTATTACCAAACAGTGACACTGTTCTCTCCTCTGCCTTCTCCCTCATTCCCACACCCAACTCCATTGGCAAATGTCTTCATTTTATTTCCAGACATATCTCAAATTCGTCCCCTGCTCTTCCACCCCACAGCCACTGTCCTGGTTCCGATTCTCATCATCTCTCCCCTAGCCTACAACAACAGTCTCCTCCTAATTTCCCTGCTTCCTATCTCTCTGTATTATCTAGTCAGCTATTGCTGCATAACAAAGTACTTAAAAATTTCATTAAAACTTAAAACCACAAACATATTATCCCACAGTTTCTTTTGGTCAGAAACCTGGTGGTAGCTTAACTGGGTACCTCTGGCTCAGGGTCTGTCACATGGATGCCATCAGGTGTTGGCCATGGCCAAAATCATTCCAAGGACTGCCTGGGGAGGATCCACCTCCAAGCTCACTCACATGTCTATTAGAAGTCCTCAATTCCTTGCTAGCTATTGGACAAAGACATCAGTTCTTTGACACATAGTCCTCACCATAGAGCAGCTCGTACCATGGCATATGTCCTCCCTAAGAACAAATGAAAGCAAAAGAAAGAGAGGGTACCCAAGACAAAAGCCATAGTTTTTGTAATTGAACCTCAGAAATAATAATCCATCACTTCTAACACATTCTACTCATTAGAATGGAATAGAATCAACAAACACAGTCACGGAATCAATAAACACAGTCCGTACTTAAAGGGGAAGGAATCTCACCAGGCTGTGAGTACTGGAGTTCAGGATCATTGGTGACATCTTAAGAGACTGCCTACCACATCCTCTTCACTGCCTCCTAGGGAGCCATGTAAAGGGCATAGCTGACCATTTCTCTTTCCTGCTCAGAAACTTCTGTTGACCTGCTGATACCTCAAGGACATAACATTCATAATATGCCCCAACCTCCATTTCCTTCTCATCCTCCAACCAGTACTCCAGTTCCCAAGAAAGAACTCTAAATTATCACACTATTATTCCTTTGTACAGACCATTTCCCTGGTCTGGAATGCTCCCCTCCACCTCCCCTGACTTTTCTACCTGGCCAACTCCTACCCATCCATCAAAGCCCACTGCTTCTGTCCTAACCCTAGCAGGCAGTTACATCTATCCCTAATCAGACCTCCCTTGGCACCCTGTGCTTTCCACTAACAGCACTTACCAGACCTAATCATCAATATTCCCACTCGTAGATCTCACATGATCTTAAACTTAACATGTTCAGAAGTTCATTTCTTTCTTTTTTTAAGATTTTATTTATTTATTTATTTATTTATTTATTTATTTATTTGAGAGAGAGAGAACAAGCAGAGGGAGGGACAGAGGGAGAGGGAGAAGCAGACTCCCAGCTGAGCAGGGAGCCCACTGCGGGGCTTGATCCCAGGAACCCAAGATCATGACCTGAGCCAAAGGCAGACCCTTAACCAATTGAGCCACCCAGGCGCCCCCAGAAGTTCATTTCTGCTGATTTTCATATTGATAGGATTTAGCAGATGGATCTTGGAGCCTCACCCTCTTAATTGGAGACGTACAGAACAAGTTATTGAACTTCACCATCTTAATGGATGTTATTAAAATGCCCAGAGAGCAGCCATTTGGTATAGGGTCCTACTAAATAGATACATATGCTACTGTAAAGGCAATTATGGTCCCCGCAGGCTTCCGTAGGGCTGGGTGGATACGATTGAGAGGTTCCTCCAGAGTGGGTGAAGATGCTTCCCAGCCTGCCTTCTGTTCTAGCCAAGCTACTTCCTATGGAAGCCTTAGTCTCCTAACTTGTAAATGGAAATAATCTAAGCAGTTGCTATGTTAGCAAGTCAGGTGCAGTTTTAAGTGCTTTAAATGTTCGTTAATTTAATCCTTAGAACAATGGTATGTGATAAGTACAATTATTCCATTTCACACAGAAACTGTGGCACAAAATGTGAACTTGCCCCAGGAAACGGGCAATCATGACAGAACCAGGATTCCAAAACAGGCAGTGAGGGGTCGGAATCTGTCAAAATAACTTCACAGGCTTGTGCAGATTAAATGAAATAAAACGAGTGAGAGGCAAGGGCAGGGCAAGGCACACAGTTAGTACTCTTTATTATTTAAAACGTAAAAACAGCTTGGCCTCCAGGTCAGGAATTCGTTCAAAGTCCCTGATTTTCCGCGTGAACTCATCAGGTGTCTCTCCCGGGTATGAAATGGGTGGGCAGAGAGGACACCTGAGACGAGCCTCCAAGCACCCCACAGCAATCGGGTCCTTTTCCTCTAGGATCCTCCCACTTTGTAAGTGAGGCGGAAGTAGCTGGTGGAAACAAACCCACTTCCGGTGTTACTTCGAGCCTTTCACGCCCGGCGGAGTCCAGGTAGCCGCCTTCCCACGCCGCTTTCGTCCCGGGCTGACCCCTTTCCTGTGCGAGCCCCGCCCGCGGCGAAGGTTCGGTTTTCCATTGGTGGAGGCTGGTAGCTGCGTCGGTCTTTCAACCAATGGACTCCGCTCTCTCTTCCGTTTGGTAAGGTCAGCTCCTCCTCCGGGCCGGCAGAGAGCGCGAGAGCGCAGGGCTCGAAGCCTAGGAGGCTGTCTGGCACGGAAGGGACGTCACGCTACCGGAAATCCGCGCCGCCGCGGCTGGCAGCCGGGCGTTTGAGGTTCCGTGAGGCGGTGGCGGAGGGAGTGGTTTCCGCCCTCGGCGGTCTCGTTTGTTCAGTGAGAAAACTGAGCTCCTTGCACGTAGTCACTCGGCGTGAAACTCTCCCGAGACCAGCGTGCTCGCGCACGACTTAGCAGAGGGACCGCCCGGGGGCGGGGGGGCAGCTGCTCCGCCCTTGGAGCCCCCGAGGCCGGTCTTGCAGAAGTATCTCCGTTTCACAGATGGGGAAAGCGAAACCGAGACAGAGTAAGGTTACCAGCGTTAGTAAATACAATGCAGGACGCTCAGTAGAGCTGAATTTCGGTGTCATCCCTCCACAAGTAACGTCCCTCTGTAAGAATATCCCACGTATTTTCCGAGACATAACGCTTCCTAAAAAAAAAAAAAAAAAGTCCGTCGTTTGTCTGAATTCAGATCTATCCGGCAGGCCTAGGCCAAGCTCACCCAGCTGAGTGGAAGAGCAGAAAGAGCTATTGAGGCACCCTGTATGCCTTCCCGGCTAAGGCTCGCCCGTGTGTCGACCTCACTCCGCCTGCGTGTATGCTGAGGTGGCCTGCGGGGCCCCCAGCCCGTGCCGGTCTGCGGTCGGCCCTCTGCGGGGTCCAGGCTGCTGTTCGGGAGCTGAGCCGAAGGGGCCAGGTGCGCGCCTGCCTCACCTCGCCCTCCAAGCCTGGTGTATTCAGAATACACTAAGCATCTACTCTACCAGGCTCAAACCCAGGCTCCAGGTGACATTGGCAGTTAGGAGAAGCTCCCTGTCTTTGTGAGATTAACAAATGTAGAGAAAAATTACCTTGTGATCAACAGTTCTTTAATACCGGTAGATAGATATACAGGATACTGTGAATGCTTAAGCACTACCTAGCAAAAAGGGAGAGACACCTAAGCAGAGACCTGAGAGAGTCCTTCCTTCAACCTTTATTTATGGGACAGCTATGTATAGAGCAGAGTCTAGGCACTGGGGACAGGCAGTGAACAAATCTCTGCCTTTAAGAGCTTAATTCCAAATAAATAGTATGTCAGATGGTGAGCTTTGAGGTGGGGGGAAGAGTAAGGGTAGCAATGGGTTACAAAATGCTGGGGTGGGAATGTTCCTTTTAAAGAGTGGTGGTCAGGAAGGTTTCACTGAGAAGGTGACATTTAAGCAAAGACCTGAAGGGGTGAGGGAGAGAGATCATGGAGCTGTTTGGGGCTCTAAGGATTTTCAGGGATAATCTTGATGTGTTTCTTACCTTAAGTAACGCTTTCAAGGATCTAATTCCTATAAAATGTGACTCCACCTAACATAGATGGGGGGGCCACTTTGTATGGTATTCAGAAAAGGCCTTCCCAAGAAGGTGACATTTAAGGTGACCCTTTAAAATGGGAATAAGTCAGCCCAGGAACAGCAGAGGGAACGGCAAGGGCAGAGGCCTGGAGGCAGGAAAGAACTCTGTAAATGTGAGGAACTGAAAAGAGGCCAGTAGGCTGGAGCACGGTGAGAGCAGAGTGGCATGAGATGGGAGAGGTGGGCAGAGGCCTCAGGCAATTTCGCTTTTAGTGGCATTACAGTGGGAATCAACTGAAGGGCTTTCAGCAGAGGATGGACAAGATCAGGTTCAGGTTTCAGTATGATCCCTCTGACTGCTAGGAGGCTGTATTGGATAATTTTGCTGGTTGAATTTACACAAGTTTAGCTGCTCATCCCAGAGGTACCAGGAAGAGGATTTAAAATGGAGCAAAGTGTTGAGAGGGAAGTCCCATCCTGTGGCCTTCCCTGTGGTCCCTTTACAACTGAATGAGCTGGCCTGAGCTTCCAAAGGGAGGGATGACACCCAGAGAGGCACAGTCTCCCTCCAGAACAGGCATAGACAGAGATGACAACTTGTATCCCTGGGACCTCCATAAGGTTCCCTGGCGGCCACCAGCCCACCAGCTCTTCTCCTTCTGCCCCTTTTGAATATACTTCCAATTATCTTCTCAAAGATCCTGTCATGTTTCTGTTCCAGAAGCATATGGGGCTCCCTACTGCCTACAGAATTAAGGTCAGACTCCTTACTCTCATTCAAGGTCCTTTATGACCCCACTGCACTGTGAGTTCCTTGAGGACTCATCTCTGCATCACCAGCGTCTGCTACAGGGCATGACCACAGTAAATGCTCAAGGAATACCTCTCAGCATCACTTACTTAGCACCTAATGATGTGCCAGGCTCTGAGCTGAGTACTTTATACCAATAGCCCTCTGAGGAAAATCTACTGAGCAGCTCCATTTTACAGAGGAGGAAACAGATTCAGACAGGTCTGATGCTAGGTTTGTTCACTTGTCCATTTGATATCCGCTTTTTGAGCACTTACTTTGTTCTGAGTAGTGAAGACCTAGCAGTGAAAAAAGTAAAGTTCCTGCTGCCAAGCTCACATTCTGGAGGCGCTGACAGATGATGCACAGAAGAACATGTAATGGAGGGTGGCGAGTGCTGGTAGGTACTGTGAAGAAAAAGAAAACCAGTTGAGGGAGGAGAGAAAGACTGGAAAAGTGCTGTGTTCTAAAGACTGACCAGAGAAGCTTTTGCCTGGAGAAAACATTTGAGTAGAACCGGAAGTGAGTGAGCCCCACAGATAACCCGGGAAGTTCATTTCAGAGAGTGGGGACAGCATGTGCAGGCCCAGCATGGGAAGGAAGGACTCTCTCAGGTCTCTGCTTAGGTGTCTCTCCCTTTTTGCTAGGTAGTGCTTAAGCATTCACAGATGTAGGGAGTGTTTGAGGAATGGAGGGGCCAGTGTGTCTGCGGAGGAGTGAGGAAGGGAGGAGGAGAGGGAATCAGAGAAGTAGCTGGATGAGGATTTTAAGTGTTACTCTCGATGAAAGGGGAGTGGCGGCGGCAACTGGCTCCAGTGCTGAGCAGAGTGGACAGCGGAGGGGCAGGAGGGGGCCAGTCCCTGGGCGGGAGGGGTGGCAGCTTGGTCTAGGAATGGCAGGAGCAGGTCCGTGAGCCTCCCAGAATGAGCGAGCGAGCGAGCGAGCCCACAGGAGAAGCCTCAGGAGGTACAGATGGGTTGTGGGGAGGTGTTGAGAGGAGGGTGGTCCCTTAGGTGTCCCAGGGCAGGATGGGTCTGGCAGAAGCCAACAGGAAAGTGACCCCCGGGGCAGCCAGCATGGCATGCACGTTCACTGCCAGTGGCCTGCTTAGGGAGGCGCTCAAAGGAGGCAAATGCCTGCGCAGGCCGGGCTCCCAGAGACCCAAGTCAGGTTTCCCTGGGGAGGCCTGAGGGCCCGCACGTCCTCCACCTGTTTCATACTCTTCTCTTCACAAAAAGAAATGACAAACCAAAACAACTGAAATGACTGTTTATTATTCTCAAGCCAATCACAGCAACTTCTGTGTGTATCTTTCTCTCAGAAAAGTATAAATTTCACACTCTTGCAGCAAATGGAACATGAAACATTTGAAAGGCTCCAGTGAGGAATCCGTTCAAACTCGATGCCAGCCGCTGTCACTTTAAAAGCCACAGAAGCATCTCCCCAGCAAACCGGCCTGAACCCGCCTCGTTCGGAGGCGGCGACGGGCTAGGCCTGGATCTCCCTGCAGCCAGCGGTCTTAGCAGTGCATCTGCTGCTTTTGGAAGCAGATGGCCAGTTCCAGCACAACCTGTGTTTGCCCTCCTTTCCTCTCCTCCAAAGGAGGAGCATGAGCGGGTCCAGATCTGCTCGGGCATCAAAACGGAAGAAGTCTCAGAAACAGCCTCACGAGGGCTGAGCCCGGCACGGGTAAGATGCAAAACCTGGTGGTGGGTAGCGAAGCAGCGGGCAGTACAGTGACCCTGTCTGCTTGGTCCCCGAGTCTCTTGGGGTCCTGACCTTTCAGCCTGTTTATTGTCGAAGTACCACAAACTAGGCCCAGCCTGGAAAAGGCATCTCTGCTTTTGACAAGCGCCCAGTTCACTCAGAACACGTTGCCTCATGAGGTGACCTCAGAGCCACATGCAGGACCCAGGATTGGCTGAGATGCTGAAACTGGCTGACCAGGTATGATATTGTGACTTATAATAACAGACGTGTTTTGTTTTCATCCCCATTCCTGGCACAGGGATCCTAAAATTTCCTAAGTGACGAGAGCGACAAAGGTGTCTTTTGTTATATCCTACCCTCAAACCCTGGGGAGGGGAGGAGGCTGGAGATTGAGTTCAGTCACTGATGCCAGTGATTTAATCAGTCCTGCCTAGGTAATGAAGCCTCCACAAAAGCCCAGAGGACAGGGTTCAGGGAGCTTCCAGGCTGGTGAACACATGGGAGTGCTAGGAGAGTGATGCCTACGGGGCACAGGAGCTCTGCACCCTTTCTCCAGAGCTTGCCCCCTGCAGCTCTTTCTCTGGCTATTCCTGAGTTACATCCTTTCATAATAAACCAGTAACATAGTAAGTAAAGTGTTGCCCTGAGTTCCGTGAGCCATTCTAGCCTATTAATTGAACCCAAGGAAGGGGGTTATTGGAACCTCCAATCTATAGCTGGTTGGTCCAAACACAGGTCACAACCTGGACTTGGAGATCGGTGTCTGAAGTGGGGGGAGAGTGGGGTGGTCTTGTAGGAGTGAGTCCTTAACCTGTGGGATCTGAAGCTATCTCTGGGTAGTGTCAGAATCGAGTTGAATTGGGGGACACCCAGCTGGTTTCGGAGGACTGCTTGGCAGTGTGGGGAAAAAAACCCCACGTACCAGGCTTACCCAGGGAGAAGCTCAAGTGAAGGTATAAAAACATTCATAATAGTATGTCCAGAACAGGCCAGTCCATAGGGATGGGCAATAGATCAGTGACTGCCAGGGGCTGGAGGAAGGGGGAAGTGAGGCATGAATGCTAATGGGCACAGGGTTCCTCTTCGAGGTAATGAACATGTTCTGGGATTGGACAGTAGTGATGGCTGTGCAGACTCTGTGAATATACTAAAAACCCCTGAATTCTGTACTTGGAAAGGGTGGGTTTTAAGGTCTGTGAATTTTATATTTCAATTTTTTTTAATTACAAAAGAAAAAAATCTTTCAGGTCCCCTGTAGCAGCAGGGGGAACTCTAACATCTGATCTCCTTTGCTAAGCAGCTCACCCCCCGCCCCCGGCCGCCCGGTGCATTGCCTGGGACCCTAGCAGTGACAATGAACTTCCAGTTGAGGGGACATCAGTGTCAGGGCCCTTGGCACTGGAGATGGTGGTGCTCTGTGGCCAGCCCGGCTCTGGCAGTTACTGCCTGAATAAGTGAAACCAATCACCCATATCTGCATTGCTCTTACTGCCTTGCAGACGTGCAAGGACAGTAAGGGTGCAGGGTCTCTTCAGAACGTCTCTGACACCCCTCTTTGCTCTTTATCTTTAGTATGAATTTCCAAAACTGTGTCAGGTACTCAGTTGCCCCCACGTTGCGCCAGGCCTTAGGCGGGGTGGGTTCACATAGAGGCCCCCCACCAGTCGGGAGCTGCAGCTCCAGGGCTGAAGGATGGCAACTCTGACCCCTGCCTTAACCCCTAACAGCTCACTCTTCCTCATGACACCAGGCATAGTGGCCTGTGCAGAGGACAGAGAAGAGTCAGAGAAGCTGGGTGCCGGTGGGAGATGCCCACACTGCAGCTGGGTCAGGACTGAAGCAGAGGGCATGGGGCCATCAGTGTAGGGTGGGAAAGTCTTGGCCCTGGCCTAGCCCAGGCTGCTTTGTGAATTGAACTGCTAGATTCCACTGGAGTATTAAAAAAAACCCTAAATATTTATTTGCTTCATATTTACAAAGGTGGGAAGGAGACCAAGGGAGACCCCAAGAACACCCCCACACCTGGCTGACCAGGCCCCTTGCGCTGCAGAGGAAGCAGACACAGCTGGAAGGGACAGGATTTATGTTGCATACTTGAACTACAGCGAGTGTAAGACGGGTCCTATTTACAGGGCAGAAACACTACAGGTGGAGCGTGGGGGGCAGCAGAGTGAGCACCAGAGTCCTGGCCAAAGGGTGCCCCTGCCTGCTGCCTTCCCCACGTCTCCCAGAGGCATCTCTGCGGCCCCACTGGAGTTCTCCGGGGGGAAACGGGGTCCGCTCACATGATGCTCGCCGGGGTGAAGACAGGGCCCACGCACAAGGTGTCCGTGATCTCCCAGCCACAGGACAGAGGCTTGCACATGCCCTCAGCATCCTCCTCCTGTTCTGCAGGCAGCAGCTGCCCTCGAAGTGCTTCCCTGCGGGCGAGAGAGGGGCACTGGAGGCAGCCAGCATGGGGCCCACAGGCCAGGGGCTCCTGAAGGCCCCTGCACCAGAAAAGCCAGCCCGCTCTGTATATACGGTTCCCACCTGGCCCCAGAGCATAGCCTCGGGCAGGAGCAGGGGTGGGTCTGCTGACCTCTTCCCCCACCGCTCTCTTGTCCCCTGTGGGCCCCCCTACAACAAGGGAAAAGGAACCCACATTTATTCAGTACTTACTACAGGCCACACATTGTGCCAGGCACCTTACTTACAGCATCTAATTGGGTCCTCCCCCAAACCATGTAAGGGCATTATTATCCCCATTTTACCAATGAGGAAATTGAGGCCGAGAGAGAAGTGACCTGCATAAGGTCACATCCCTAGAAGGTGGTAGAACTAGGATTCGACACGACTCTCTCAGTCCAAAGGCCACAGTCTTTATATCCCAGGCTTAGGACTTTAAAAAAAATCCTCTCCTGCCCCCCTGAAGAATCCTACAAACCTACCTACCCGGGTTGATAAATGGCCCCACCGTCTGGCCAGCTGCTCAGCCACAAGTCCAGAATCTTGTTCCCGTGCCCAGTCCATCCCTGCCGAGCCCAGCTCCTGAACTTCCTTAGTCCTCTCTCCATTCCCAGGGCCACCACCATCTCTAGCCAGGGCTACACAGTCTCCCTGCTCTGCTCCTGCCTCCTCCAGACAATTCTGGCCCAGGTCCATTTTTCCAGGAGGCGAATTCCTGCGCTTGAGCCGCCAGCAGCTTCCGTCTGCTCTCAGGCCCTGCCCAGCCCAGGCTCCCACCTGCAGGAAGGCTGCCCTCCTTGCTGATGTGTACACTTCAACAGCAAGTCAGTGGTCAGGCTGTTCTTTCCGGCGGGAGGCTCCCCAGGCCAGGCACCCTGCACCCTCTGTCTATCTCCTTATCTCTCAAAATGGGTTGGTCCAGTTTCTTAAAAAGCATCCATGACAGACTTCCCACTGCCTTCGAGATCAAGTCCAACCTGGGCCTCCAGGGTCCTTCTCCATCCAGCCTTCTGCACAGGCCACTCCAGCCAGATGCAACTATTTGCAGTTCTCTGAATGAACGGGACTCAAACCCCCACCTCTTTCAGCCTGGACCACCCCTGTCAGCCTTCCTGCAGCTGGCTGACACCTCCTAGCCCTGACCACCCCTCCGTACCCCGCTGTCCCTCGCTCCCCAGTGACCTTTCAGCTCTCTGCACCAGAGTCTGTGTGCGAAGGTCACCACGCCATCTTGGGTTCTCTTGTCCCCCGGGACCGGGCCCAGAGCCAGGCTCTAAAGCAGGGCGTTTGGGCGGGACGCCTTTGATATGGGGAATTTCTGGCACAGCCATTTTAATACATCAAAATGTTTTGTTTCTAGCAATGAATAAACGGACTCCCTGCACCTTCTCTGCCAGTATTTGCTTATGATGGAGCAGGGATGGTCTAAGGAGGCCTGTGTGGTTGGCTTTTTAAGTTTGGTTCAGGCCTTGTCACAACACCCCTGATGTCACGATGGCTGCATCAGCCCAATCCTGTGCCCCCCGCGGGGAGTAGCCACAACAAAGGTCTGTTGACTGGATGAATGAAATGCGACTTTGAGACTGAGCCCCATCAGGCTGGGGGTTGGTAGCATTGTTGGGGAGCAGGGTGCTCAGACACCCAGCATGTCCCCCAGAACACAGGCTGCACTCACTCCTGAGGCCCAGCATAGAAGTCCCATCAACTGCTGCTGCCCCTGCAGGCATCTCCAGCCCCAAGAGGGGGCTCATCACCACTGACCAAACCCCTGTCCTTGTGATAGCACGATTCTGTGCAGGTGAGAGGAGATGACTGACAGGCCAGACAGGAGGGTTCAACCAAAGTGACTTCTGTCTGCCTCGTGCCCCTCTTGGCTTACTGGATCCCAGCACTGGCCCAGCGAGGCAAGCGGGGTGAGTGTTGTGTGCGTTTCCTAAGGAGGCTCAGCCAGCAGGCAAGTCTTTCCCAGGCCACAGAGCTCAATCCACGTCTGCCCTTGTCCTCCCTTATTGCCCCCAGTAGCCAGAGCGGTCTTTCTAAAATCCAAACCAGACCATGTCACTCCCCTGCTTCAAATCAGTCCATGCTTCCCACTGCTCAGAGCCCTTCACTTGGCCTTCAAGGCCTTTCCTAGAGCCAGCCCTGCTCCCTCTCTAGCCACAACCAACCTCAGGTAGTTTCTTGAAGATAGCATGCTCACTCCCTGTTCTTTCTGCCCGGAATCCCGTGCTGCCTCTTGCTGGCTAACTCCCATTCATCTACCATCTTCCTTCCTCTGGGAGGTCAGTCTGGGCTCTCAGGTTCCACAGCCCGCCCTCACCCCCCGCTATTATCAGGAGTGACTGTCTGCTCTTCTGTGTCTCTCACAGGGTGCTGAGCTTCTCAAGGGAAGCTCTGTCTCATTCATGGCCACGGCCAGGTGCCAAGCGCAGGCCTCACTTGGAATCAATAGCCAAGAGCTCCTTGTCAAACTGGATTACATGGAAACCAGTCTCAAATCTCAGATTTCCCTTGTTCCCTGCCTGCTCCCTTCTCCCCCACTCCCTTCTCAGCAGGGCCCCCTTACCAGGCCACCCGGGACATGGCATAGGTGACTCGGCAGGTCTGAGTCCCCCCAAGGGGGGAAGCCATGCCCACGGTGTAGGCGCCCATGTTCTCAAAGACCAGCCAGTCCCCTACGTGTAGTTGCGGCAGCCACAGGCCCTCAGCCACACGGTCACGGCCATCGGCCACAGGGCCCCACAGGCTGCTGCTGTACAGGGGCTGCTCCGCGGATGATTTCTGCAGGAGAGAGGCACAGTCACATTCAGCTTTCCTGGGCACACGGAGTGCAGCCTCAGCACTCCCTCCCTCAAAAGCTTTCCATGGCTCCCATAACCAGTACAATAAAGACTGGAGGGGCCTTCTAGCCTGGCATTTAAGCCCCTCCCACTTCTCTACATTCATTGCCTTGTACATTCTGAAGCCACAATGCCTGGTCTTCAATCCAGGCTCCAACATTTACTAGATATGTGACCTTGGGCAAGGTACTTAATCCCTCTGAACCTCCGTTTGCTCGTTTGTAAAATGGGAATAACTATAGTACCTACCTCGTAGGGTCACTGAAAGGATAAACGAGTGTATGTAGGGCATTTAGACCAGCGTCTGGCACATGACAAGGGCCTAGTAAGACAGCGCTATCATTATTGTTGTTATTGTTACTACCTCTCTGCTTTGGTCTTCACTGGCCTATCTGCCACTTTCCAGACCCTGGGTCTGTCCACACCTCTCCAGCCCTTCCCCCTCCCTCAAATCCAGCTTGGCCTCTGGGCCCAGCCCTGGGGCTTCCTCTTCTGTGAAGGCCTCCCAGATGCCCTCTCATTCCATGCCAGGCCCCGTCATAGGAGCCAGAAGTACACAGGTGAGGTAGACCCCCCCCCCCCTCAGTCTGGGGAGGAAGATGGGCCTCCAACAGATAAGCACAGGGTGACCTGGCAGAGGTCACAGAGGAACCCATGGGGTAGACAAAATTCCTCCCATTTCAGGAAAACTGAGGCTCTGAGAGGTTATGTGACTTGCCCAAAGACACAACTACCAATTACATAAAATTAAAATTTTTTTCTTAAATGACTTAAAAATGCAGAAAAGAAATCTCTAACACCGACCATTTGCCGACAACCAGTGCAATTTGTCACAGTGTGGGATTCTGCCAGGCAGGTCCTAGAGGAGGAGTCCCAACTGAAAGATGGATATGAAGGAACCCTGCCTGTGCCCTTTAGTCCCCTTGTCCATCCCCACTGTGCTACTGTGTTCCAGTCACTCCCTCTGCTCTGGGCTCCCAGGGAAACCTCGCTTCCCTTCCCCCAACCCAGCCCTCCCCCTGCTCTTCCCTGAGGGGAACTCCCACCATTCCTAATTTCCCTTTAGATCTCAGCTACAACAGCTTCATGAAAGCCTTTCCTAAAGCTCCATGCTCCCCCCAACAAGCTTAGCCTTCATAGCGTTTGTCATAATTTATAATTAGGTATTTGTGAAATGTACCTGCTCAGGCCTGTCTTCCCTGTCAGACTCTAAATTCCATGACCCCAGAGATCATGACCATCTTGTTCACCCCTGTCTCCCCCATGCCTAACAGTCTGGCATAGAGTAGGTGCTTTTTTGAATAATGTCTTTCAAGTGAATGAATGAATGAAGGAATGAATAGGAAATACATGAGTGATAGAAAGAGAAAGAACCAGAAGAAAGAACGGAAAGAAAGAAAAAAAAAAGAGGGAGGGAGGAAGAAAGGAAGAAGAGATTAATAGAAGCCATCTAAAGAGTCTAGAAGGAGGTAGTGGAGAAGACCAACAGGGGAAAAAGAAAGTGTTACAATACCATAGCCAGCAGCAGGGATGAGTAAAATTGAGAAAGAAAAGCCACAGATTGCATAAGCAGAAATAATATTCATGTATATGATAAAAAGCTAATAAGCCATTAGTCTCAATAAAGAAAAACATGCACATATTAAAGTAAAATATTAAAGCTATCCATATTCATTAATTGAGTCATTCAACAAATACTTATTGAGCACCTACTATGTGCCAGGCTTCAATCTAGGAGCTGGGAAGTATGTATTCTGGAAAAGGGAGACAAATACATCCTTGTTCATATAACTTAACGTTCTTGTTTATGAGCTTTCTGTTAATAAATAAAATTAATCTCAGTTGCTCTGAATTATTTCCCTTAGCTCCACTTCTTAAAAAGCATTAAGCTAACTTTTAAAGCTTTTCGGGGGAAATGCTATACAAATGAATCCATGAGGATCCTGAGAAAAGAGGTTCCAAAGTTTTTCCACAATAAAGTAGAAAGAAAAGACACCCTTGCATTATAATAAGAGTTCTCTTACTTCTTATTAGTGGCATAAATAAAAATCAGTGGAAAAAAATTTTAACTTCACAGGAAATAATGCAAAGCTACCCTTTTGCTATTTAAAGCCCCCCACCCCCACCCCTTGGGATGCCTGGGTGACTCAGTCAGTTAAGTGTCTGCCTTCCGCTCGGGTCCTGGGATCGAGCCCCACATTGGGCTTCTTGCTCAGCGGGGAGCCTGCTTCTCCCCCTGCCTGCAGCTTCCCCTGCTTGTGCTCTCTCTCTCTCTGATCAATCAATCAATCAATCTTAAAAAAAAATAAAGCCTCCCCTTCTTTAAGAAAAAAGTAAACAAAAAAAATCTGCAAAATAAATATTCCAAAGGCATGTGGCAACAGGCTTATTAAGTCTTAGCTCTTTCTAATGAGTGTGCAAACTGAGTGGAAATGGACAAGCCCCTGTAAAAATACAAGCTGCCCAATCTGCTACCAGGCCCCCTCCCTGAGAGAGGGCAGGGAGTTTACAGAGCATGCCCACCATTGCCTCACACCCCATCTGGGAGGCAGCTGCAGTTCCCATTTTACAGATGAGAAAAGTCAGAGGATGGAAGTGACCAGCTCTAGGTTCTGGAGGTAGTTAGTAGCAGAACTCCCGAGTGGTCCCAGACAAGGGGCCTCCTAGCTGCACCAACTGGCTGCCCTCCTCAAACAGGCCCAATGAGTGAGTGGATCCACACAAGAAACAAGGTCAAACATTTAAAATATCTTCTGGCCCTGATGGAGTCCTTAAATAATTCCCCAACTTTTTAAAGAATAAGTCAATAATCCCTATTCTACATAAAGAGCACAAAAATATTTTAAAAAGAAAAAAATGGAGTGAACCAGGGCAGCACACAAAAAGGAAAGAAAAAAGAACAAAAACATATGGACAGAATTTAACTTGTGAACATACAGGAAAATCTGAAATGAAACCGTAACTAACCAAATCTGCATTCGTAGCCAAAGATTCACCTTCAGTGATTTACCTCTATATGGAACAATATGGACAATTTACCTCTTTGGAAGACAGGAACAATATGAGCAAGGTGACCCCTGGCTTCATAATATGGAAAATATAAATCTACAATTCAAATCTAATTTTCCCAGTACATGTCAATATGGCATTCAATAGCCTATAGCATCTATTCCTGATTAAAACTACAGACAAAACAAAGTCAAACCCTGCAATGCAGAGAGACTATTTAAAATAAAGAGGCAACTCTAACTTAATGGAAATACATGAGAATGGCCTCATTTCAGAACCAGAACTAACCTTGGTAATTTAAGTTCAGCCCTTCATTTTCCAGATGAAGAAACGGGAGAAACAAAGTCAGAGAGATTAAGTTAACTTGCCTAAAGTTACTCAGCTACTATATGGTAAAGTCAGGACTCCAACCCATGTCTTCTGACTCCCAAGTCTGAAGCTTTCTGTTATCATTCCTATTTTATATATCATGCTATTGGGGGGGAAGAAACAAAAAGGTATAATATATAGAAAATGAAAAAAATATATATTGCAGATGACATGTTTGCCTACCTGGAAAATCCAAAGGGAAGGGGTAGTTTTGGGGGGAAATCAGTGAATCTCAACATGCAAGCCATTGTCTTAGCTCAGAAACACAGGGAAATGTTTCCATTCACGATAGTAATGAAAGCATTATATTAAATTCTTGGATGTACTTGAGCCACAGTAACTTACTCAAAGAAAATAAGAAAACCTTAATGAGAGAAATAAAATACAAGAGCTCTACCTCTCCTAGCTGGAAAAACGTAATACAGCAAAAAAGAGAATTCTCCCCAATTTAATAAATAGATTAAGTAGGCTACTACTAATTAAAATCCTCAAGATATTTTTCTGAATGTTAGAAGTGGCATGATAAAAGAATAAATGTGAGCCTATCAAAGAATACTAATAAGCAATAATGACAGACTCAATTTTTGTTAAATATTTAATTCCTACAAAAAATATTTGTACCACATGTAAGATATAAAGAATAACAATAAAATGAATATCTGTGTACCCACCACCAGCTAAATAAATATAAAATTTCCAAGATCTTTGAAACTCCCATGTGGTCCACCCCAATGACATGCTGCTTCCCTAACCCCTCCAGAGGTACCCATTACCCTGAATTTTGTCTTCATTATTCTCCTGCTCTGTTTGGTACAATATTTAGTACACTTTTGAAATTTGTGTAAAATGAAATTATAGAGTATGTAATCTCTGCAACTTGCTTTTTTTGTTGTTGAAACCCACATTCCCAAGATTCATCCAACTGATATATGTAGCCATAATTCACAATATGCTGCATCGAATTCATTATATGGAACACACCGTAATTTATTTATTACCCTGCCAACAAATGTTAATGTTGTTTCCAATGTTTTATACTATAAAAATAGCTCCTGTGAACATTCTTATATATCTCCTCAAATACACATGCCAAGAGTTTCTTTTCAATATATATCTAAGAACTTGCTGGAAGGTAGGGTATACACATGTCTAACTTTATATGAGTAATGCCAACTTGTTTCCCAAAATAGAAATAGCAACTCCTACCTATCAGTGTCTAAGAGATCCAACTACTCTATACCCTCACCAACTCTTGATATTGTCATGCCTTTAATTTTTTTCTAGTCAGTAGAAAATGGTGTCTCCTTTTCATTTGAATTTATGTCTCCTTGATTACCAGTGAGGTTGAGTACTTTTTCATTTTCTTTTTTTTTTTATTAAGATTTTATTTATTTATTTGACAGAGGGAGAGACAGCAAGAGAGGGAACACAAGCAGGGGGAGTGTGAGAAGGAGAAGCAGGCTTCCCGCTGAGCAGGGAGCCCGATGCGGGGCTCAATCCCAGGACCCCGGGATCATGACCTGAGCCGAAGGCAGACGCTTAATGACTGAGCCACCCAGGCAC